ATCAATTACGCGTATTGTGCAAATTTTTATTCAACTTCAACAGCAGGAATTTGTCCTTAAGGTGGTAAGTTGAACTGTGCAAATTATTTGGATAGTGCATTCGAGGTTAAATTCACCTGTCTGTCCATAGTCCAAAATGCCGAGAGGACGACGTGTGAACATCGGCCGCCACACAAGACGTGCAAGCCAGCAACAAGTGTATTCACAGAACTTAAGCGAAGAAAGACAAAATATAATAAGAGAAAATGCCCGATTGAGACAACGCGTGAGCACACGAAGATCATTGGCATCATACAACCGCTGGGCATTCCAATATGATCCCACTGCGAACTACAGTGATGATGACAATTTAGATATTGGACAAATGACGAATGTATGCCGATATTGCAATGCGTTAAAGTTTAAAAGAGAAACGGCTGGATTGTGCTGCGCAAGTGGAAAAGTCAAACTGGATCCATTACTTACACCACCACAGCCACTGAAATCATTGTTCGATGGAACTGAACCCGATTCCAACCATTTTCTTCAACGCATCCTTGAATACAATAACTGCTTTCGCATGACTTCCTTTGTAGCTAATATCATTCGAGAAGGCGGCTTCATGCCGATTTGCAAGGTAAAAGATACAACACACACAACCAATCACTCACACCAATCAATCACACCAACACAATCAATTGCAACACATAACAACTAAATATACACCATCACACGATCAGAAGTCACACCATATTCTTCAAAAATAATTAAATTGATTATTTTATCTTAATTGTTTGCCATCAAAGATACAAGGACAAATATATCATTTGCATGGTTCAATGGCGCCAACAGCAGACGAACCCCATCAATTTCTGCAAATATATTTCATTTCGTCGATGGTGGATCAGCTGAATGTGCGGTGCAATATACAGGGAACACAACAGTTAAAGAGACGAATTATGGAACAGTTGCAAGCATTTTTTCACGCTAATAACGCTGAGGTTAATATGTTCAAAACAGCATTGGAACGAATGCCATCGGATACGCACAAATTTGTCATAAGAGCGGATCGTACCCCAACAGGTGAACATGTACGAAGGTTCAATGCACCCACCGTTGATGATGTTGCTGCAATTATTGTTGGCGATCCAACTACATCACGAGACATTGTCGTTCAGTTCCGTTTGACTTCAAAAGATAGCAATTTCCGGTTCGCCTTGCATTCGCAATGACAAATAACAAGTCGCAAGGCCAATCGCTTAGTGTTTCCGGGATAAATTTAGAAAATCATTGTTTTTCACATGGGCAGCTATACGTTGCGTGTTCACGAGTTGGGAAACCATCCGCTTTGTTTGTGTTAACGACAGACCAAAAAACAAAAAATGTGGTTTACCAAAGAGCACTTCAATGAAACAGATAATTTGCGGACACGTATAACGCTTCGATTCAGATTTTTTACTTAGAGACAAAAAAAAAATAATTTTTCTTCATCTTTTAATGCCCAAACGAAATGTTACAAGAAATGAAGCCATCTGGTGGCGGAACGGAGTTCGCCGGGTTTGCTAGTACTCCATAAAAAATTAAATTGAATTTTCGACCAATGCCCACATTTCACAGGCAGCACATCATCCAAGTATGGGTATAAGTTAATGACTCGACTTCAGCGCAAGTACATATGTATATACATACATTCATAGATATCTGTATGCATTTCGACGGTAGTTTGACAAAACCTCGTATCCCAGAGATCTCTATTCCACAGTAACACCAATAAACTCTATTATTTAATAACAAAAATTCATTCCTAAGAACTTTTTGATCTGAATGTTGAAGATTAGGTACTTTTCAGTTAATTAGGGGCCGGTTGTTCAATGTCTGGTTATCACTACCTCCCAGTTAACCCGTATCACCCTACGTAATTTTTTTTTGTAGTTTCATAAAGATTTTTCAGGAGCATAATCCTTATGAGTAAAGTAAAAAAACTGCATCACTAAATTTTAGGTCCTGCACTTAGGATCCTTAGAGCCGTTTTCACCAACTCTGGTAAACACTAATCGCCAGTTAAACATCGTTGCCGACGTTACCGACACAATGTAATTTGCATGGAGTCAGTAACGTCGGCAACGATGTTTAACTGGCGATCAGTGTTAATCAGAGTTGGTGAAAACGGCCCTTAGAATGTCCTGTTGCCATATGGCAACGCTAGGTAGACTAGGGCACTGGTTTACATCTCATATATGTATGCCTTTCAAGAAATTAACAGCCGTTTTTGAGGTTGTTTATTCAAAGCAGAAAAGTGTAGGTTTTTTTTAATTACATTTGTATAAATAAATAATAAAGTTTTTTTTTAATTAAAAAAAGTAGAATTTATGGTTTCATATGATACGATTCAAAGCATGGTAAGCTGAGTCCAACATCGCATTTTCTACAAGCTGTTCGCACGGTGGATTTGCATGTATCTCCTACACATCGTCGCTTCTTATCTATTGGAATAACGAATTGATCAGTCCGATCATAACGGAGAGTTTCTATTACCGAACTCATTTGCTTCCCCGATGGCTTTTGAAACACTTTTGGCTTGGTATCGTTGTGCTTGTAGTAATAAGTTGTTACATCTCGCTTGAACTCTTTTAGTGTTTTATTTTGACCAACGCGTCGATAAAGTAGCCAGCTATTCTGAACACTGGCATCGATAAGCCATGTAAAAATGCAATGCCACCACTTTTTTTCCTCGAAATGAAATGCGATTGCCTGAAACATTTTGATGAAATCGATCAACACCGGGCATATATTTGTTGTACTCGGTTACAACGCAAGGACGTGGAACTGGTACTTTCTTATACAGTTGCCTGCTGTACCGAGATGCTGTTGATTTTGGTTCACAACCGAAGCAAGTAGATGCAAGACACGCCGCATTATCCACCCACTTAGTAATATGAATTCCTGTTTCTTTCATTTCCACACTTTCGTAATAGCCTCGCTGTTTTTTTCGCAATTCCTTTTTATGTGGAATTGGACAATTTTTGGGCATTCTATTTTCTCGTACCGTACCAGTAGCATGGTAGTAAAAAGAAAATGGGATTTTTTTTACGCCATCTGCAAAATCGTCTATCATACATAGGAGTGGCGCCGCACAAGTACCAAAACTTTCCTCATATTTAGTATCTGACCTCGGGTTTTTACCTTGATATATTTCAAAGTTGATCATATATCCACTGGGTGTGCATAGAGACCAAGCCTTGTATCCGAAGCGAATGGGCTTCCCTTTTATAAATTGCTTACAGCCATGGCGCCCGAAATAAGCAATCATACTCTCGTCGTATGAGATATTTTGTTCTGGGTGGAAGTTTTCTATAATTTTGGCCTTGATGTGGTCTGTAAGTGGACGTAGTTTCCATAGGGAGTCATATCTGTCAGAGTTATCTTTCGGTTTGCATATTGATGGCGTGGAATGAAGCATATAATTTATTTCTTCGAAGCGGTTTCTTCGCATAGCACTGAATACCATTCCGATACGGAGACCATCTTAGTTACTCCACATATCGCGAAAGGACCCTGTTTGATTGTAACCAGTCATAATCAAAATCCCAATGAACACACGCAGTTCTGAAATAATATGTAAATATTGGATTAGGGATATAAAAACCGCTGAACAAGTCCTCACCTCCCACATTCAGTTCTTCATACCGTTTTTGATGATGAGTAGCGTAAAAATTTGAACATTTGCATATGTGTTCAAGCAAATCATCGTTGAAAAACTTTTCGAATAGTTCATGAGGACTAAGTCCTCGACAGTCTTCATAATTTGCTTCAGGGAAAATGGGAAAAACTGCCATCGAATTAGTGGTACGCCAGGTGAAATTTCTTTCTTTGTTAGCTGGTGGGATTGGAACATCAGGCTTTGATGGATTCACACGACATATTCTCTTTGATGAGCTCGGCAAACAATCGTCCAGTATATCGAATAAAACAGGCTCGTCATCGATTTCAGTACCAAGGCAAGTTTGCTCGCCATCAAGACTTTCTATTCGACGACCGTTTTCCAAAACAATTGCCTGACTTTAGCTGCGCTGGGCATAAATTGTCTTGTAGTCCACCATCCTCGTCACCTGAATCTTCGCCACTTAAATCCCCCTCAATACGGGGTGGCTGAATATATAGTGCTTGCGCATTAGCTGGAGCTCCGCTCTCGTCGTCAGAACATAATTCTTCTAAAAAGTCTGATGCTTCTTGCAAAGAAAGTGGTCTTAAAAAATAAAAAAATGGAGAATGTTAAATGATGTTTCTTATTTATCTACAGTCAAATTATTCCTTAAGAAACCTAGAAAAAACAAGAAAACTACCGAAACACACAAAAAAACATTACAACAACACCAGTAGCCTAGCCTACCTGGCGTTGCCATATGGACACACGCATAAAAAACTAAAAAAAACCCCAAACACGTTATTACTCCTAACAAACACTAAAAAAATCACATTCATTAAAACGATTAAGATAATTAGAACACATTTTAGATGCACTTACTTTTTTGTAACCCTTTTTTTTTACACTCAACATTTTGCGTTTTATCTACGAAGCGCTAGCTCTCACAAACACGAACTGTCGCCAAATATATTTTGCGCAAAAGAAGAAATAATTACGCGTCGAGCATATTCTTAAAAGTAACGGTATCTGCATTCGTTTGCATGTTATGATCGTGTAAAAACATGTCTATCGCACGTTGCCATATGGCAACAACAGGGTGATCCGGGTTAAACAACATTATCGGCGATTTCGACATCATGCATATAACATGTGATCGATAAAGCAGTCGAAGCATTTAACACGAGCTTCTACTTCCGATTTGTGTTAACCACACATTGAATAACCGGCACTAAGACTATGTATAACGTAATGAATCATAGTATTTGAAGGCCCATTCTGAACTAATTTTATGAGATACGATTTCTATAGTGATGATACGAGGTGTTGCTAAAGCACCGTCGATATGTATGTACGTCAAGTGCTTCAATAGTAAATCGGAGTTGGTAAATTCGTAATTTGAAATAAGTAAGGGATATCTATGTATGCACATATATGTATGCGTATTAAATATCGACTGCATATCCAGATAAGGTAACGCCTGGTGCAATCTCTTCCTCCACGTATGAGCCAGCTTCCTCGAATGACTTGGCGTTTGTGTTTTCAAAGCTTTTTCCAACTGCGGTGGTACTTTGTTTCAAAGGAGGTCCACGGTTTGCAAATTTAACCTGATCAATTAGAACCTTTTGTGATGGCGAATTGTTGAAATCATCAAGTCGACGTCCCATGAGGCTCAGTTTTGATGACTGAAAGCCAATACTTTCGTTATTATTGTTTGACATGTGGCCATTGAATTCATATACAGTTGAGTCAGGGTGGGAATAATTGGTTTTGCGAAGCAAAGATTTGAAATTAAAAGGTGGATCTTCAGAACTCTAACCGGGATACGGCAATATGAAATTAAAAAAGAAGTTTAAATATATGTAGTTAATTCAACAAATATAGTCTAGCCAACCTACATCCTCATCATTGGAACGGCGAACTATGTCCTTCAACTCTCTCACCGGGTCCGGAGGTATAAACGCAGCACGTTGTTGGTAGTTTTGATTCAAGCGGCTCAAATTGTTTTGGTTTTGCGACGGCATTCGTGAATACATTTCATCATTGCGATAAATAATGTTTGTCGGTGGCATGGGTGGAGGTGGTGGCGCCGAATAACCTTTTAGAGAGTTTCGCCGTGAACCTGCTAGGTTGCCCCGTATTTGTGAGGATAAGCTGTTGGTAGCATTATTGTATTGATGATAATTGTTGTACGCATTCATATTCATTTGCACTTGGTTCCTAAAAAAGAAGATATAATTTCCAGTTATTTAATATTAATGATATACATGAGACATTCTTTTTCATATCGGACACCAAATTTGGTGTCACACTTTCGATTGGCTTCAAATTTTTTTTATGGGTTCTATACATGAAATAAGCTAACACGTGTCCGAGGATTTTTTTTCGCTTTTTTCTTTGGAGTATGATCTGTCAAGGTTTGAATTTTTTCGTGATTCTGACTATTCATGTACTCCTTCGAATCGTTATATCTCCGGCCAATCGTAGAGACTTCATCTTAACGCCGTTTTAAAGCTAAAGAAACGGGCTTAATATTTCTATATATAAGACTGTCAAGATTGTCCCAAAGCTAACTTAGCTATTAACAGTTGAACTTTTTGAAGTTGATTTGCATAGTGAAGACCAGTAAATTAGGGTTTTAAAAGTATACCATCGTAATCCTTGTTTAATTCTCTATCAAAAACGTGGTTAAAAAAATAGGGGTTTTTCAAGAACTATTTTTAAAATATCTTTCTTTATGACGAGATGGTTTATTTTGTGAGAATTAAAACTTTTTTAAATTTGTTTTCCAAAACTTATGCTGAGATATATTTAGTAAGGTGTTAAACATCGAGTTTTTGCAAGAATTTAAATTTTGTTGCAGGTTCCGATAGAATACCTATCCAGGTATAATATTTGTACGGCAAGATTTTTCTTAAAGGCGACAAACCCCTAAACATGGGCGTGCCAAATGTAGGACTAAAGTTCGTAAAACGCAGATTTTATTGCGGATTTCGGGAGAATATCGCTTCGTTAACAGCATTTTTCCACAAAGCGAATCGGAGACATGACATAATTTTTTTTACGAAATCCGTCCGACTTAAAAAAGAATAGCTCACATATGTATGCACATAGAAACGTAAGGTATATGACTTTCTTTTGCAATTGTATATGTATATATACTAGGGATGTTAATTTTTTCGCCTTTTTCGATCCCGGGATTTTCGGGATGTCGTTATCACAATCCCGGGATCGCGGGGTAAGTCCCGGGTTTAAGATATTCATTACTTTTCAACAACTTAAATCGAAAAAATTGCTTCTACCTCTCCTACCATAAAATAAATAATAAATAAATAGGTTTGAAACCCACTTTTTTTATTAAAAGCGGCGTTTTTATTTTTTTTCTCTGACGTCAGGATTTATTTTAAAAAACTATGTAATTTCAAAGATATGATTAATTCCAAAAGTTATTTAAAAATTCAATGCAATGTGGAATAAAAATATGGGTACCAAATGAAAGAGGAAATTTCTTTAGAATTTAAAAAATTAAAAGTTTTTTGGATTCACAAGGACGACTAGGTAATTTTTTAAGCTGATAAAGTTAGAAGGATTTATTCTAAATGACTTTGCAATTTCAATGATGTGATTAATTCCAAAAATTATTTAAAAAAAATTCAATGCAAAGTAGAATAAAAATATAGGTACCAAATGAAAGAGGAAATTTCTCTAGAATTAAAAAAGTTAAAAATTTTTGGATTCACAAGGACGAATATGTAATTTTTTTAGCTGATATAGTTAGAAGGACGAAATTCGAAACATATATTGCGAAATTTCAAGGATAAAATTTTAAAGGGACATTTTCAATAAATTCTACAGAATTTCCTCTTTAATTTGATACCCACACTTCTTCTCTAAGCACATTTCATTAAAGTGTTTAAATCATTTTGAATTACTGACGTCAAAGTGAAAAACTAAAATACAATTTTATAATATTTGGCCCATGGTTTCGCGAATATATTGATTTTTGTGTGTAAAATTTACAATCGCACGGTATTATATGTATAATTACGGTGACCATCCGTTCTGTATTATACGGGACAGTCTTCTTTTTTGAGCAATTGTCCTGGCAATTAATTTATTTTATACGGGACGCCAAATGTTCTGTATTTCTTTTAATGTCCTCAATTTATCCCGTATTCGGGGTTCGGTATTTCGACTCTTTAAAAGCTCATTAAAATGGCATACCTATGAACCAGTTTTAAATGATGTGGAATATGATCGTAACTTTCTCCATCCTTCGAATCAAGGAACACATACAGTGACTAAATTATAAATAAGGATTCTACATTTAGCAAGGTTCGGCTATTTTTCTTTTGTTTATTTAATGTTTATTATTTTTTTTATGCAAAGCATTTCCTAACAAAAACCATATAAATCCAAATTTCCGACTTTGTGCAAAAACTGATAATTAATTCCGCAAATTTCCACCAAAATTTCAAACTTTTTAATCAGAACCATTATAAAAAAAAATTTGGTTGCGTTTTGTAGCTCATTAAAAGTGAGTATAATATAGTGCAAGTGCAACGTGCTGCTCGTTTGCTTCCCTATCAACAAATTGTCCAGCATATTAACTTTGTATGACAAAAATGCGTAGCACCAGCGACAAAAAAAATTGCCAAAAATTAACGGTAAGTCCTAGCTACTTAAAACTTGCACTTTATCGTACAAAAATTTATTGAAACTTTTGTAAAAAATTTTGTAGAGTAAAAATATCGAGAAATATATCCTACATGTCATGGTACTACAAGCATGCTGTGGGCTAATATATATATCTAAGATCATTTAAGAAGGTGTTAAGATCTGTTAGCTTTTATGGAAAAAATGAGCAATTATTTTTTGTTCCGTATTCGGCTCGCATACATATTTATGGTCACCGTATGTATAATAAGCTGGCCATTTATAAAAAATATTAGTATTAAATTTATAAAAAATATAGTATGAAATAAAAAAATAAATATAGCCAATACTGGTCAAGAAAAGAAGTTTCTATTATTGCCATTAGTGCAAATTACAAATCCCGAAAATCCCGGGATTATTTGGCAAGAATTCCGGCATTTTCGGGACCTAAAAAACATTCCTAATATATGCTAAAGGCTAACACAAGTACATTTGCCGCATAATGTTCAATAAGTACGCTTTGCATTGTACTCTACTCTACTCTCAGAGGGATTGGCATATAAAAAAACCCTCGAAAATTTTATTTCAAAACTTTAATGTTGATTAATCCTTATTATTACATATGGGTGTTTCAATTGGAAGGTCTACCGCGGAAATAAAAATTGAAAGTCATACATATATCGAACGTATTTATGGGCAAATTTATCTGCTTTTTAACCGACTTCCAAAAAAGGAGGAGGTTATCAGTTCATCGGAATATTTTTTTTTGTCTGGCGACAAGAAGACACAGCCTGAGCAGAAGCGGGTGAAAACTTCATCGACCTTATGCTCAGCACCAGAGCTCCAGGTAGCAATCATAGAAGGGAATCACCCGGAAGGAAAGATTCCGACGGAAAAATTGTTGCTTCTGGAACAAAAGATTATGAGGGCACTACTTGGCGAAATCCAGCGTACCAAAAACAACAACATTGGTATGTTTGATGGAGCCAAGTGGCAGAGGGGAGTCAAAGTTATTGGATGCGGTAACAAGGAGTTGATAGACTTCCTAACAAACTGCGTCCGCAACCAAGATGAACTTTGGGCCAACGCACGACTAGAAGTTGATCCGCTCTCAGAGGTGCCATCCCGTACGACAGTGCGATTTATTCAACGCCCCAGGCATCTCTAGAGACCCTGCTGGATATTCCACGTATAGAGATATATGTTGAAAGTATCGCAGCTAAAAGCGCTCTACGACTCAGAGCGTCTAACAGGCTGCGAACAACTTGCAAAGGTCACGCCACAATCCTCGGGAGAGTGGGGGCGGAATACAGCCGCTGTGACCACCAGGTCACAGAAATTGACTCCGATATCCATTTTCCTGACAGAAGTGACTGGGAATTTAATATTGCTCTCAGCGATGAGGAAATA